TCTCCCCTTCTCTCTCTCTCTCTCTCTCTTGCCTGCCTCTCTCTTTGAGGGTTCGAACACACGCACACACACAGACACTCTATCAGTATCATTATTTCCACCTCCTTTTCTCTCTGTCTCAGTCTCTCTCTCTCTCTTGTTCTCGCTCTCCCATTAACCCACTCATGCTTCGTTGCCGATGGTCTCTGCCTCTCATTTTCCAGCTCGTTCTCTCTCTCTCTCCCTCCCTCTCCCTCTCCCTCTCTCTCTCTCTCCCTTTCTCTCTGTGTGGCATTCGCACTCTCCTGTTGTTTTGCTTAACGTTCTCTCCTCCTCTTTGCATGTCCGTCTCTTCCGTTTTCAACCTCCTGCTCTGCCCCATGTGCACATCTAAAAAAAAAGCAAAAAAAGGACCTCCCATGTGCACAGGAGGGAACGAGAAAAAAAGACTACCATCTGCGCAGGAGAAAAACAAGAAAAAAAAGAGAAAAATTGGAAAGAAAGAAACTTAAATCACGACGCCCGGGCCAGGGTTCTCACGACCATTCAAGCCCTCCCCGGGTCAATCGGGGTTCTACCCACCCAATCGCCCGATCCCGACCGTTTACCACCGTTTCCGGCCGTTCTGAAGGAAAGTGGAAAATAAAAGGAATCAGACTGATCGATACATTCGTTCGTTTGAAGAATGATGGCTGGAATAAATCACTAGCGTGTGCTGATTCGTTATTTGCGTGATTGAGCGGATGATTAATACGTCGTGAGCCTTATCATGTGATGAGGAGTAGACACTGATTGAGAGATTGATTGATTAATTGCCTCAACGATTGATTGATTGATTGATTGATTGATTGATTGACTGATTGACTGATTGATTGATTGATTAGTTGGTAGCTCAAATGAATGATTGATTGATTGATTTCTCGATTTATTGATCTCTCGATTGATTGATTGATTGTTTGCTCGATTGATTGATTGAGTAATTGATTGATTGATTGATTGATTGATTGATTGAATCATTTCTCGATTGGTCAATTGACCCATGTATGTATGTATGTATGGATGGATGGATGAATTGACTGATTGACTATGGGTTGTTGATTGTTTGCTCGATTGATTGAGTGATTGATTGATGAGCTTGAGCTTCAGCTTTTTTGGTAGATCGTCCTCGTTATCAATCCCTCCAACTATTGATTGATTGATTGATTGATTGCGCTTCTCCCTGTTCTCCCAGGATCACAGGGGTTGCAGGCCTCAATGGGAAAGGTTGCCACGACGAGTGCGCTTGGTTTTGCAACAGCCGCTGTCAGAAAATGCCTGGAAGTGCAGACGGACAGTTGGATGGTGTACATTCTGATAGGGGCATGCATTCGTGCATTTTTTTTGCAAACGCGGTCGGGGACAAGGGAGGGAGAAATTTCCAGTCTTAGACGCGGTGGGGCTATTGCGATGACTGTTCCCTCTTCGGTCCCTTCCTCCCCCTCCTCCTCCTCCCCCCCCTCCGTTGCGTATCTAATTTCTCTTCCTCCTCCTCGTCGTCGTCCTCCTCCCTTCTTCTCCTAGTCCTCTCCTGCTCTTCATCTGCTGCTCCTAATCTCTCCTGCTCCCCCTCCTCAGCTTATCCACCTCCACCTCCTCTACATCCTCCCCCTCCTCCTCTGCCTCTCCTTCTCTCCCTCCTTCCCCCCTACTTCTCCTCCTCCTCCCCCTCCCTCCTCCTCTGCTTCTTCAATCGCTCCTCTCGGTCCTCTGTTTTCCTCCTCCTCGGCTTCTCCTCTGCTTCTCCTCTCTGCGTCTCGTAATCCTCCCCCTCTTCTTCTCTCTCTCCCCCTCCTCCGTCTCCTAACCTCTCCCCGCTTCTTCTCCTCCTCCTCTCCTCATCACCCCATGTTCACCTCTGCTCTCCTTCTCCGCGGACTTATGCTCCAGCTGCTTATCATTCAGTGGGTTTCTCGCTCTGTTGTGGGCAACACGATATTGAAGCGGCCTGGCCCGTCCACATGAAACAACAGTTCCTCCTCCTCCTCCCCCCCCTCCTCCTCATCTCCCCGCTTTCGCCTCTCCTCTCCTCCCCTGCTTTTGCTGTGCTGGGTATTGTTGTCGCACGCGTCCTCTGATGTTGTGAATATGCCAATGGGACTTTGGAAGATATTTTGGTCGACATAAAACTTTTTTGGATGAACTGTTTCTGTGGATAAACTTTTTCTGGATATACTTCTTGTGGATCGACTTTTTTTGGATATACTTTTTGTGGATGAACTTTTTTTTGGATAAGTCCTTTCGGATATTTTTTTTCTGGATTGGTGAACTCTCTTTTTTCTGGATGTTCAGTTGTGGTGATTGTCTGCAAATGCGCAGGAATGGATGGCCCAGGGTAAAGAACATGGCTGTAACATACCTTTTTTTTTTTTTTTTTTTTTTTTTTTTTTCGCTGACAAGGAACATGTCAGTTCCGTGCAACCCTGCGGTGCTGTGGTGAGGTCCCAGTACAGGAGCAAAGAGGATCGGATTAAGGGCCTTAATCTCGACGATGTGTATTACGCAGAGATGCAGAAAAGCAGACTGATCATGATTTTCTGCACCTCTCCATGAACACGTCCAGATGCGGGAGCTTAGTCCAATCCTCTTTGCTAGTGGGACCTTGCCGCGCTGACAACAGAAGCGCCAACAGGAGCCCGAGGCATTGCATTCGATGGCTCTTTGTCTCACTGGAGGAGCTGCACCAGCTCGAAAACTGGCCCAGGGCGCCTCTTCAATGGTACCAAAAAAAATCTCAGCCAACTTGCTGGGACCTTTACCAGCCCTCTCAGCCACTGGGGCTGCCAGCTATTCTAGGAAAGGAGCTGGACTCAGGAGCCGATTGTTCCTCAAGCAGCTATGAGCCTTAGAGTATACTATTGTATTTTTCTCTGTAAGCGCAGCCCGAGAAGGATGAATGGGAAAGCAAAACCCCTAGTCCTCTCTCAGCCACTGGGCCTTCAGAGACGTTCTAGACTCGGGAGTCGATTGTTGCCCAAGTAGCCAGCCATGAGCCTTAGACTAGACTATGCTATTTTTATTTGTAAGATTAGCCCAAGGAGGAGGAATGGAAAAGGAACCCCCCTACCGTAGTCCTCTGGTAGCTATTCTAGGAAAGGGGCTGGAGTCAGGAGCCGATTGTTCTCCCAGCAGCCATGAGCTTTAAGAGTAGACGATTGTATTATTTTGTCTGTAAGCTTAGGCCACGGGGGATGAATAGAAAAGGAACCCCCCTAGTCCTCCATCAGCCACTGGGCCTGCAAGCTATTCTAGGAAAGGACCTGGGCTCAGGTGTCGATTGTTCTCCCAGCAGCCAGGCACGATTTCAAAGTCGCGAAGCACTGCAAAAAGGTCTAAGCACCCTACGAGGACGTACCATGTACAAATTTGTGGAAAAACTTGTCACAGTGATCAAGCCTACATTAAGGGGGTGTCTAATAGCCAACAATGCACCTGCCTGGTGGCTGAACTGTGCATACACATACTGTTGTCGATAAGCAGGTTAAGAGTTTAAAGTTTAAGCCCTGTTGGACACAAATAAGGTTATGGGTCTTCCCCCTTAAAACAGGGATAAGAACCAACAGTGTTTTGCGTTGCACCCAGGAAATGTTGAATGGCGAAAAACAGTCCTGCTCATGCCGGCCAGGGGAGGTATCTGTTAATGGTAGGGCACCAAGCAATGCCAGGGATATAGGCAAGGGCAATGGGGGGGGAATTGAACCCACCAACTCCTGAATTCAGCTTCTGTGCCGTACAGACTGAGCGCATACTCACACTAGGACTTTTTTGCCTCAGCTCTGACCATAATTGCGGTCAGATACATTCATTGGCAGTCGTGATTGTGGCCAGATACATCCTGGAAAGTGCTAGTGTGAGTACGCTCTGAGCTAGGCTTAGTTGGCCTCTCCCTCATTTTTTGGTAGCTTTTTCCTTTTGGAAGTTTCAGATATCTTCTTCAGGGCACACTCACAAGACCCCTGCAAGCACCCAGCAAAAACCCTCAATTTAGAGGGGACCGTCAGGTCGGTCACACGATACCCCGAATGCATCCTTCGTATCAAGGCTGTCCTCAAAACCCTCAGACGCCCTAAATTTGAGAGAGAGGCTTGAGTGCGTCATGTGAGTGTGCTTAAGTTCTTTTTTATTTTTCCTTTTATAGACCACCAGTACCTTTCATGGCCAACAGAGGCCGACACATTGGGTTAACCACCACGATTTATGGGGGCTCGGGTTGCCAGACCTCTTCGGCTGGCGGCGGTAGCCAAAATAAAAAAAACATTGCATCACACTGATGCGGTCTAGTTTTGGTGCAGAGCATAAGTCCAGCTCTGGGGATAAAGATGCTTAATGGCAATTCTTTTTTTTCCTTTTTTTTTAAAGGACTTGCACATGTTTAAGTGTGATTGTATCATTTTCAATTTGCCTTTTTTTTTTTTGGCTAAATCTATTAACGGACAATAAAGTAATAGTAATGGGATGCGTCCGCAGGTTAACCTTCTGGGTGGAAAGCTTGGTGTGAAAGGTCTGAAGGCCGGCATTGGCTGCGGGGTCGGCATCGGTTATGGGTTTGGAGTTGGTGAGCGTCGTCTTCTCTTGAAGTGCCTGTCTAATTGAATGCCTTCTCCCAAGTGTAGAAGTTTCACCAACTTTCAGGTATTGTTTGATTTTTATTCATTATATTCTGTAATGACCTGCAAAATTGCAGACTCAGAAATCCGCTGTTTTCTGAGTATTGCTGCTTGCTGGACTGATTTGCTGAGATTTCCATTTCTGCTGAGATTTGCTGTCTTTTTGCAGAGTATGCGTGTGTGTGGTCTGAGCACTCAGTGTGGCCCCTGTCCTCCCTGCGTGCCTGAGAACCCCTGTGTGTGTGTGTGTGTGTGTGTGTGTGTGTGTGTGACCCGCTGGTGAAGGCCTTTGTGCTGATATGGCTCTCGGGTCTGATACCAACCTGTGGCCGTGTGTTTCTGGGGGTTGCAGCGGGTAAGGTAGGGTAGAAAAGGCCCGTGGAGGCCAGAAAGAAGAAATAGAGGTTGGGGTAGCTGAAGAGGACAAAAATGTTGTAACTTCTGTGTAGGCCGAGGTAGTACGCTAGAGGACCGGGAGGCTTAAGGGTATGTACCAGTTTGGTAGGCCTGAGTCAGGAGCCTGCAAAGGGGAGATATCTGACTGCAATGACGTTCCCGCCAAATGCGGGGAGGCAAGCGGTAGGCTGAGAGGCTGAGTACCCTGGAAAGTGCCCGCGGTGGAGTGTGGCTGTAGTTTAAGTTGAGAGGCAGCCAGGCGCTCCACCTCATTCTTCTGGTGGCAAGCTGTGAGGCTGCTGGAAGGGAAAGACCATCTCCGAGAACATTTGAAGTAAAGATAGCCTGTTAGTAATTTTCGAGGGTAGGGGAGTGGAAGAGTTCTCCTATGAACAAATAAATTACGATTAGAGGAGGAGGACAACTAAGTAGTCCAGGGAGGGATTATGCGAGGTAGAGGAGGCCGTGGAGGGAGAGGAGGAGGGGGTCCGGCCACCTAGGGGAATGGAACCAGCGACGGCTTCCACGTGGGAGGAAGGGGATATGGTTCCCCGCAAGGTGGCAGAGGCGGTTCCTCTCCCCACGGAGGAAGAGGTGGGAGTTATGCCCTCGCTAATGCTGGAAGTGGGGGGTTTCGAGGCCCGTGTAGGTACCCGCCTAACCGAGGGCGAGAGGAAGGAGAACCCTGGAAGGCAATGAAAATGCCTGATTCCCTGTGGAGGAAGAGGAGGGAGGAAGGTGTATGTGCGGGGACCCAGGCCACATCATTCCCTTTTGCCCTGAGTTGCATCAGCCAGCAAAAGGGGATGACCGGTAGAAGTGGCAGCTGCTCCTATTGGGGCTGCAGACTTTGATAGACAGGTAGAAGCGGGGGCTGAGTTGGCACCCTCCTATCTGCAGGCCCAAACAGCAAAGGCTGATGTAGGCCCCCACCTATATAGCTGTTCGGAGGCAACTTGTGCTAGGGTCTCTCTAGGTGGCTCCCTTGCCGGTGTAGGTGATGAATTGATTCAGTCGCTGCGAAGCCTGGGCCAAAATGAAGACGAAGAGTAAAGGACAACTGATTTTGGCAGATGTAGAGGTTGATGGAACCCATGTACGTGCATAAGTTGATATAGTGGGTCAACACACTTGTATGAGTAGAAAAGGTTTGGGAAAGTTGCATCTTGGAAAGATGGTTTTGAAACTGGACGAACCGGTAGTGAGTAGACTGACATACAATGAGGAGATGAGGGTTGAAGAGTCTGTTGGGGGGTGAGGCCGTACTTCCGGTTGGAGGGGGGGAAGAGAGTAGAGAAGGTTTTGCACTCCCCCACCCTTCTAGTGGAGGATAGCCTTCCCTTTATACTAGGAATGGACTGGGAAGAGGCAGCTAAAGCGGATATCAAACTGGGCGAGCATGAGTGCTGGCTGCCCAACAGTGAAGGTAATAAAAAGAATAAGTTCTACCATGAGTCCGGAGCCCAGTCCGCTCTGTCCCTTTGTTGTATGAGTGCACCTGCGATCGCCTGAAATGTGGTCAACAAGAAGATAGTTGAGCAGGTCTTTGTAGCCTACGGTAGACCAGTGAGTGAAGAGAAGAGTGGGGAAGAGAAGATACCGCCCCAAATGGAATCTTTGTTGAAGGAGCTTGCTCTTGTAGGAGAGGCCCTAACCGGTGTGGTAGAAAGGAAGGTTCAGCACCGAATTGAGATCAGGCCCGGTAGCAAGATTCCCAAGGGGCCCATTTATCGCATGTCTCCTCGCGAGCTGGATGAACTGCGCAAGCAATTAGACGAGTTAATTGAGAAGGGGTCGATTACGCCTCGTTCTTCACCGTATGGTGCGTCGGTCTTATTCGTACCTAAGAAAGAGGGAGAATTAAGAATGTCCATATATTACCGGGGGCTGAATGCGATTACAGTAAAGAACGCAGAATCATTGATGACTTGTTAGGCAGACTGCAGGGTTGCACGTATATTTTTTGAAGATAGACTTGAAATTGGGGTACCATCAGATAGAGGTACAGCCGGAGGATCAACACAAAACGAGTCGAGTTCCCGGACAAGGTACGGACACGATGAGTTGGTAGTTATGTCGTCTGGACGGACCGATGCCCCTGCAACTTTGCGAAGATGTATGAATGACCTCTTTCGAGACTAGTTAGATCACTTTGTCGTAGTACCCTTGGATGTCATTCTGATTTTAGTAAGAGTCTTGACGAGTGAGCACTGGGAGCATCTGTGATTAGTTTTGAGCAAGGTGCAAGAGGCTAAGTTTAATTGAACCAGAAGAAATGTGAGTGGGCCGAGTGCCAAATTCTGTACCTAGGACATGTGGTGGACAGGGATGGAGTTAGATCGGAGGATGCTAAGATAGCAGCGATTAGAGACTAGCCAACGCCTCGAATGTTGCTCGAGCTGCTATGTTTCCCAGGACTGGCCAACTACTATCTTAAATAATGTCTGGAAGTTTACCACGATCGTTGCCTCGATACGCATGTGTTGTTGAAGAAGGCATCGGTTTGGTGATGAGATAAGGACTGCGCCTCCGCGTTCAAGAAACTGAACGACTGTCTTAACCCATAAAAAACGTACGTACGTTTTATTCGAATACAACATACGTACGTTATACAACGAGTTTTAGGGCACGACTTTGCAGGAGCCTTTAGTACCACCGTCAATTTCTTGGATTTGGTTGGGAATTTTGCCAAGACCCTCGTGCAAAAGTTGTTTGTCTTGCACTTTTGTACAACATAGTTTTTTTTTTTTGATATTTTTTAAAAATCGAAATTCTAAAGAAATAAGAAAGCAGAATGTCCCTCGTATTTATTTATTTTTCTCCAATTTGGTTGTGAATTTCGAAATGACCCTCAGGCAAATGTTGTTTGTATTGCAATACTGTACAACATTTTTTTTCCCCGGATTTTTTTTCTTTTATTTTTAGATTGAAATTTCCAAAAAATTGAATGCAACGTACGTATGTTATATTCGAATACAATGTACATGTACGTACGTTCTATTCGGAAAAAAAAACTGCGATTTTCTGGGACCCGTTTTTCAAAGGGAAGTTGAATAGAACGTACAAACGTTTTGAGTTTTCTGGAATTCGTTTGATTCTGATGCTTTGGAAGATGACCATTTCGGTTGGGGCTCATCTTTCTGGTGTTGTGTGAGTTTTCTGTGGTTTTTCCGTATGATGCATGCTGGAGTTTGTCATCAAATTGAGTTTGGTCTCTCCGCTTCAACACCCCCCCCCCCCCCCTTGCAAAACGTTCAGATTCATGCGCTCAATCTTAGACTCTTTACGAGAGGGGGACCTTGGTCCTGTAGCTAGCAACTAAGGTACAGAAACAAGGCTGCGATATGCACGTCCGTGAGGGCCCCCCCCCCCCAAAAAAAAAAAAGGGCGACGGCGTGAAGATGTACGGTGGAACGACCGTCCTTAGGTAATTGAAGACTCTAGTTCATCTAGTTCCGTGTGGATTCAAACTTCAAACTCAGGCCTGTATTTCAACGATTCATGGGTGTGCCAACTGAGCTAGGCCAGTTGGTGGTCCCTGCTCAAATTTGACTGGATCCCTGTACAAATTCAAGGAATAAAAAAGATCTTGTTAAAAAAAAAAACTTGAAAAAAAGTTTTCAGGACCTGATTGAAGACAGGGACAGGGTCCCTGTACAAATCTCAAGTCCTTTTGCAGACAGGGTTTGACCGGGTCCTCGCACAAGATTTCCAGAACTTCTGATGAACACAGGGACTGACTGGGTCCCTGTTCGTGATTCGAATGGGTCGCTGCTCGAGTATTGAGGACCTTTGTCGAACACAGGTACTAGGGTCACTGTACAAATCTCAGGACCTTTGGGGACACAGGGAATGGGTGGGGGCCCTTCACAAATATGGGGACCTTTTCCAACACAGGGACTGAGTGGTTCCCTGTTCAAGGTTTGAATGGGAGTCTCCGTTCAAATATGACTGGGTCCCTGTACAATTTTCGGGACTTTTTTTTTTTTTTTTTTTTTTTTTAAATCACCACTCCCTTTCACAGTGTAGTCCCTTATGGGAAATTGACCTCATCTGAAAAAATTGCCGCCGGGCGGCCGCCTATATTTTTCATAGGCGATTACCGGCCTCTGAAACGAGTGGGACTGACCCCGCAGCCAACATACGAGTTCCAGTCAGCCACATGAGGCCTGGAATCCCTCAAACAAAGTAGAGCAATACTCTCACACGCTTACTCCCTCCCCGTGAATGTGCATGCGAACTCCTGAAAAATTATTGATTTGCTTGCAAATTATAATGAAAAGTATCGTCAGATGACTGCCACATCACCGTCTCTCACAAAGCGTTGCCTCCCCTCCCTCCTCCTCCCCCTCCTGCTCCTCCTCTTTCAATGCTGTAATAGTGCTTACCGTGAGCATGCATGTCATGATGCTGTATGTCTGTGGTGTCCATAAACTCTGGTGTGCGTGTGTGTGTGCGTGTCTGTGTGCGTGCGCGTGCGCGTGTGTGTGTGTG